ACAGTACTACAAACGGCAACCGGGACCAGGCTCACGTTGGCGACTCTACCTGTGACAAGGACTATTTGCTTACTGAGGAGGACAAACTTCTCGAAATGACCGTAGTCTGCTCCGGATCGTTGTCAGACGAGATTGTGGATCCGGAAGACGAACGCAAAAAGATCATGACATTCGAGATGGACAAGAGGGTGTCGGTGCAAAAGATCGGCTTCGCGGTCGGTCCCTTTGAGCACGTCGACCTTTTCTCCAACTTCCGCACTGAGGAAAACGACGAGAAGCTCGGCGCTAGTGCGCTCAAAATCCATGGCTACTGCCTGCCCGGAAGAGCAGCAGAGGTCCAGAACACATGCGCAGCACTAGCAGCAGCAGCCGACTTCTTCACTCTTACGTTTGCCAGGTATCCTTTCGAGAGCTACAAGATGTGCTTTTTGGATGACATGGTGAACGATACTGTGGCTCTACAGTCAATGTCTTTTGTCAGTACTCGACTTCTTTTTCCTGAGGAAATCATCGACCCAGAAGTGGATGTCACGAGACAACTGGTTTTCAGTTTGGCGTCCCAATGGAGCGGCATCAACTTGTTTCCCAACACGCGCAGAGATCTTTGGGTTGTCATTGGCATCGCCTACTACATGACCGACCTCTTCTTGAAAAAGCTTTGCGGCAACAACGACTATCGATTCCGGATGAAAGCCATGTCAGACCAGCTGGTCAACATTGATATCAAGCGGCCATCGTTACATGAACTCGGCAATAACCTGCACCTGGGAGATTTCGAGATGGAGTTCATGATTCTAAAAGCCCCTTTGGTGCTCTTCATCCTAGACAAGCGTTTGATGAAGGCTCCTGCCCAGACGAACCTGACACGCATCATTTCTCGCATTCTTTACAAGGCCAACATTGGAGAAAAACAAAGCGAGTGGATCATCAACACGGAGTCGTTCCAACGAGTATGCGAGAAGAACGCCCGAAATAAACTGGAGGCATTTTGGGGCCAATGGGTTTACGGGTCTGGCTGCCCACGGTTCGATGTGTTTCAGCGTTTTAACAAGAAGCGACTATGCGTTGAGATGAACATCCGACAAGTCCAGGACAAAGCCCTAGCAGAGGCGCAAACTCTGAAGAAGACGGAATTCCTGCGTGCTATCAAAGAAAAATACCACGGCGTCAAGACTGAGGAAACGATTGGACTGTTCACCGGCCCAATGACGATAAGGATTCACGAAGCCGACGGAACGCCATACGAACATATCGTGGAAATCCGCGAAGACGCAGCTAAGGCGGCCAAGTTCGAAATCCCGTACAACACGAAGTACAAGCGTCTCAAGAGGAAGAGGCGGGCCACAGAGAAGCTCAGCGCGCAATCAGCGGCAGACCCCGATAACAACGAGGAAACGCTATTGTACTGCTTGGGAGACGTCTTAACCGGCCCCGAAGACGTGAGAAAGTGGGAGTTTGCGGAGTGGGAACCCGACATCGAGAAAGCCATGGATCAGGAGTCATACGAATGGATCCGGATGGACGCCGATTTTGAGTGGGCCTGCGAGATGAAGACCAATCTTCAGAGCTACATGTACGTCTCTCAATTGCAACAAGACCGAGACGTCGTTGCACAGCAGGACTCGATGCTGTACTTGAGGAAGAGCCCACCACACCCACTGGTCTCTACATTTTTGACGAGAACCCTCGTCGACCGGCGGTACTTCCACGGCATAAGAACGATGGCTGCTGAGACGTTGCATCAACACGCCACAGATAAGGTTGGGATGGCAGGCATGACTCACCTCCTCAGGGCTTTCCGTGAGCTCTTCTGCGACGAGAAAGGCGAGCCAAGATCCAATGACTTTACGGACAAGAAGCAGTACATAGTCCAGTGTGCACTGCCCATGGCCATCGCCAAAATCCGTGACTCGACTGGCAAGTGCCCTGAACCTGCTCAACGGCTTTTGCTGAAGGAGCTGGCAACCAACAAGAACGACAACAACCCATACTCTGCAGATTTCTATAACTCCAAGATCCTCGACGCTCTAGCAACGAGTCTCGTACCTGAGAAGCGACGCGACTCTGGAGATCAGATGGACCTTGATACGTCGGTCGATGAGCGGGCAGTGCTCGTTGAAGTTTTGGCCGAGATTGACCGCCACCGTAGGATGGATGAGTGGAACAGTTCTTACCAAAATATCTATACAACTACTGCCCTCGAATGCTGGCGGAAGCTGATGAAGGCAGGAGTCATCCCCAAAAGCCCCATTAACTTTTGGCAATACCTCCAGGACGGGACCTACGACTTGGTGCGTATCAAAGCTTTCGAGTGTCTCGTCGACCTTGGCTTCATGATGGAGATGCCGGTCTTCAGATTGTTGTTGTCGGTCATTAGCACCGACAGGTCCCCGTTCGTCCGACACAAGGTCATCGACATCTTCTGTACAGGTTTGGCTGCCCTTGCTTTCGGCGAGCAGTCTCAGCCAAAATTGCCCGCACGTGGCCCTATTGGGGACGAGTTGCAAGTGGATTTTGATACCGAAGCAAGGACTCAGGAGCGACGGAAGCAATTTGCAAGGAAGCAGGACGTCAATGTTGCGCTTGCGGCTCTGAGGACTGAAATGGAGGAACAGTACTCGGACCACGAGCAGGCGCTGCAAAAGACAGTGTGGAAGGCTCTGAACGCAGAAGTTCTTGGCCGCGCTGAAAAGATCACGCTCTTACAGCTGTGCGGGACTATGTTTGATGTCGCTGACCGATGGACGGTTACTCTCAACTTTCCGAAGCGATGGAGAGTCACTCGTCCTGTCAAGCCTCATCCAGGCAGGGTAAGCAACTTCATTCCTCGAAATGGCTTTTCTAACAATTCGCAGTTCATGGTCAACTTCAAGTCGTACTACAAGACAGCGCTGCCATCGGCGAAGCCGAAGGAACCAGTGCCAGAGCAGCTGCCGCCCCCGCCCCCGCCCCCAGTACAGCCGCCGCAGCCTCCCAAACCTCCCGAACCCAAACGCCTGATTGTGAATATGAAGAGTGGCATAGCCAAGAAGCCGTTACCCTCGGCTCCACGACCTGTCTCAACTGCCCCTCGGCCCACCCCACCTCCAGCCGTGCAGTCTCCGAAACCAGTTTCGGCACCATCGCCAGTGCCTCGGGAAGCAGACTCGATAGTTGCATCAACCATCCGGAAGGAGACGACACCAAAGCCATCAACGCCCAAGCCATCGACGGTGAAGCTTCCCACATCAAGGCCGTCACAGACCACCAAGCTTTCTGTGGGCAAACCTCCAGTCCCGAAACCCTCAGTTGTGAAGCCTCAATTGTCGTCAAACTCGATCTCCGTGCAGAATGGCCGCTCTACACCGCAGCCGGGGTCTTCGTCTGACACGCCGAGCAGCAAATCACAGAAGCGTCCCCGACCTGATAAGGTCCCTGGCGTAGACGACGCGTCCCCGGTGCTGAAGAAGGCGAAACTGAACGCGCGCCCTGACGGCACCATTCCGAAGCGACGCAGGATGTTCCGGTTTAAGCACCCGAAACTCAAAGAGGTTATGAGGAAGCTCGGTGTTAAGTCCCAGATGCCGCCCCCGAGAGACCCTTCCCACGTCAAGACTCACAAGTCGGCTTCTCCGTTCAGTGTGCGGCCTTCTCCTGCCGCATCTCCAGCGCCTGCCCCATCTGAGAGCAGTATCATGGCAAAGCCAGCACGCAAGCCGTTGCCAACAGGCTCGTCGGGGGGAGGAGGCTCATCAGGGCCAGCGGCTAGTCCGCCGCCGCCCGTGGCATCTCTCCCGCCCAAGCCTCCCTCCCAAGCCTCCCCGCCACCGCCCGAAGGCCAGCCGGCATCCAAACGCGTCAAATTGGTCATCAAGAGACCATCAACGTCTGCCCCGAAGAACTAGAGAAGAGAATGGCAGCTACGTTTCGCATGACAGAGGGAACTCTCCTCTCGACAGTTTTTCTGCACAATTATACAGGCCCCCGCAGACTGGTCTTGATGAGCATTTCTTTTTCTTCGTAATTTATTTTCCTTTCTTCACTTGTCACGGCCCCTCCTCGAGACATCACATCAGCATTACCAGGCGTTTGGTCTTGGGACAAGAAGAAAAAGGGGAAGAGAACGGACTGGGTTGGTGGGGACGGACAGTGTGCGGCTCAAGGGAACGAAGGTCGTGGGGAAGAGACGGCCGGGGGACGCCCCAAGTCGCGCGAGGCAGCAGCGCGTGTACACAAACAAACTATTTTCGAGAAAACCAGAATTTTAATGATACCCTCGACTGGAGTAGGTAGTCCTCGGGGAGTTCCCTAGTCCACGCAATAATTGGGTATCGAATGAGACAAGACTGTTTTCTCTCCGCAATGTGTAATGTGCGACAGTGATCTCAGACTGGACAAGTCATCGGACTGAGGCTTCATGCGGCTCATTGTAGCGTCGTAGTGTCTAGTTTCACAGTGTGTCATGTTCATTGCGACCTTCCTCTCTGGATAAACAGCCCCGTTCTCGATCACGAAGCGCATCGCAGATGATGCACTTGACGTCATTTGACTTCACTGTTTGTTTTTGAATTTAGAATATTGTACAACGCTTCTTCATCCGGAAGCACCACCCTCTCTGTAAAACGGGCTGTTGCCCTCTCCGTGGTGTATGTAGTCCAGACTCGCGGCTTAGTATGCTTACATAGGAAATTTTGCTCAGAAGCACGGAAAAAAGAAAAAGAAAGATGTGTGCGGCGATCCAAGTTGCGGCGGCCAAAAGCCTGCGCCGTTGCGGCCTCTCCTGCGTCTTTGGTATCGTCACGTTTATCCCCTCACCCACGCTCCCCAGTCCATTGAACGCCAGTATAATTTTTGATCGGCAAAGTCTGCTCTGGGTGACTTTGCAAGCTCGACAAAAAGCAAAAAGCCCCGCCTGTAGTGATGATCAAAACCCCTGAACCCATTATCCAAATGGCGCGGCCGAGAAAAAGGAGGGTATTATTAATAGAGGACCGCGCCGCAAGACCACTTCGGGTGACGAATTAGTGGGAGTGACCGTGGTCGTGGTCATGGTCATGGCTGTGACCGTTGCCGCGGCTGTGACTGCTGTGGCTGTGAGCAGAGTTACTGCGCACACTGCCGCCGGCAGTTGTTGAGTCAGAGCAGCAGCCCTTGCCAACGCAGTTCTCGACGCAGTCCAGCAGACAGGCCTGCTTCGGCGAGCCGAAAGTCTGAGCAGCACCATCGTACTGCATCGCGCGGTGTGCGTTTTCGTCCTCGGGGTAGTCCTTATCACCACAGAACTCGGGCTGGATGGTGGCGGAATGAATACCGTAGGCGTGAAGGCACTTGCGAGCGCGCTTGGCAAGCTCCATATACTTCTCGCCGCCCTCAGCCGAAATGGGGAAGCTAACCTGAACGTGCATAGAGGCGACGATCTTGGTGTCGGAGAGTTGCCAGATGTGGACGTGGTGACAGCTGATAACGCCAGGGAGAGTTTGGATGTCCTCGCGAATATCATTCAGGTCGATGTGGTCGGGAGTGGCCTGAAGGAGAATCTTGGAGGTTGCCTTGGTAAGGGGGATGGCAGACTTAAGAATGATGAGGGTAATGAACAGAGATACGGCGGGATCAGCGTAGAAACGGCCGGGCCAGTCAGTGAGCCAGATGATAAGAGCCGTGACGATGACACCAACGTTGCCCAGGGCGTCACCGATGACGTGCAGAACCATGGCGTTCATACCCATGTCGCCGTGATCGTGGCCGTGGCTGCTTGATGCCTTCTTTCTCTCCTTGTTGTGGTTGTGGTCATGGTGCAGGCTGGACTCTCTTCTGGGGCGCTTAGAGGCGGAGCGGCCACGGCCATGGTCATTGGTGTAGGATTTGTTACCATTGTTCGCGAGGAGAGGAGACTCTTCGTCAGCCTCGCCGTCCTCGACAACTGTCTCATCAATCTCACTCTCGCTCGTCGACTCCTGGCCATCAAGTTGCGGGCGGGTAGCAGCAATAATCTCCTGGCGGAAGCTGGAAGGATGAATGCTGAGGTCCTCAATGCTAGTAAGGCGGGAGTGGTGGCGGTTGCTGCTCTTGCGGCGATCGTGGCTCTTGGAAGTGGAAGCACGGCTCGTAGTACGATCAGCCGGGTCTGAATCTCTCTCGAATCTAATGTGGCGAGTCTCGGACGAGGCAGCGACTCTGGCAACAACGGCTTCGGGGAAAACATCGCCGGCGGTACCGTCCTCGCTAATTACGTTTGTGGCACGGCCCTCCTCGGCGGCGTGTTCGTCGGAATGGGCGTGGGCGTGGTCGTGGTCGTGTTCGCCCTCCTCGTGGTCATGGTCATGGTCGTGACCTCCGTGGGCATGGCCGCCGAGGACAAAAAATCCGACAAGGTTGGAGGCAAGGCCGAAGGCGCCGACGATAAGGATAAGCTGGGGGTTGTCGATCTCGGGAGGGTCGAAGAATCGGGTGATGGCCTCGAGGATGATAGAGACGCAGAGAGCGATCAAGAAGACGGCGTTGAAGAAGGCACCGAGGATCTCTGCTCGCAGCCACTGCAAAGTCCGAGTCAGCTGGAAAGTGCTTCAATATTGTAGACAGAGGTAGCTTACGCCGTAGGAGTACTTGTCGGTGGTGGCTTTTCTCGCGACAGCGACAGCCCAAAGACCGACACAAAGGGAAATGATGTCGTTGAGCTACGTCGATTAGCAATGTGTCGCACATTGTGGTCCCGCGCAGTTGGCGAAACGTACCATGTGGAAGGCATCCGCCGTCAGGGCCAGCGACTTGACAACCAAACCAACAATCAGCTCAACCAGGAAGAAGACGACATCGATGGCCAGCATGATGCTGATCCGCGTCGACTTTGACCACGCCATGATGGGCAAACGTCGGAATGATCGCGGACGATGGGAGGGATAAATGAGCTTCAGGAGCTCAGTAAATTGTTGGGTTGAGCCAGTAAGGCCAATCGTGGACGGGAGGTGAAGTCGCTGTCGCCCTGAAGGATGATGAGTTGAAGTTGGAGATTGCGCGCGCAGACCAGGAAGGCTGAGTGCAAGGGGGTAAGGAAGTATGGTGGGAGGGGCGGCTCGCAGGTTATATTTGTGCAGGCACCTACCCACTACCGGCTGGCAACAAGATTGACTTTTCGGTTCGGTGGTGGACGGGATGGTGTTGGTGGTGGAGAGCGACGCCCAGGGAAAAAAGAGACAACGAGAACAGAGACAGCGGCGGCGAGCTGAGTTCGGCGCTAGTTATGCTGTGTGCTGGATCTGTGGGCGATATGGACAGATGCAGAAAATCCCAAATAGACGGAAATCGCAGCCACCGAAGGGTGTCTGTCTGTTGTTGTTGTGCCGGTACCAATCTGAAGGCCAATGTCACTGCTCTCGCACCGTTATTTTTTCTCCTTGTGACACGGTGACCGACGGAGAGAGAAAAGTCGGAACGCGGTCGGACGCAAAGACCGCCCAGTGCGCTGCGCGGGTTGCAGCTACGCAGTGCAGTACGTACGGATACTGGTGGTGCAGGCGCAGGTGCAGGTGGAGGAGGTAATGGGTGGTGGTGGACAGGGACCCGACATAGAGGATGACGGAATTAGACTTTCTTTGCTTTTTTTCTGTTTCTTTTTTTCTGCTCTTCTCCTGCCTACGTACCCGCATGTATCGTTCGCCTTAACACCTACGCAGTGGCGTCGCCACTGCTGAGCAAAGATTGGGGGGCAATTGGGGTAAGGACTTTTCTACTTTGGCGGGCACCTGGCAATCTGGCTGGTCTGGCGAATGACATGTGCTACGAGCATCCAACACACAATAACAAACAGAAAGGATTAGCTCCAGACGAGACGAAGGCGTTTCCAGAAAAGGACACAAGATGGGCGATGTCTTCTTTTTGGGAATACCAGGGATAAGGAGACGCGCAGGGAGGTCTTAAATTCCGCGGCAGGGATGAGTAGAGGAGGAAAGGAGAAAAGCAGTTCTGCAGCTGTTTGCCTGGGCTGAATAGTAGTGCCCCCCCTTTGTTTTACGGAAGAAAGCAGATCAGTTGCATGAAGTTCGGAGCTGCATCGGTCGTCCGTTCTTTGCAAGCTGCTTGAAGCTCGGGCACCGGACTTGAGGGGAAACTGTTTGGACGGGCATGGCCCGGTTCCTAGCATCTTGCGCGAGGGGACACTGGAAACCCCCGGAACTGCAGAGAGCAACAGGGCAGAGTCCTAGTCACGGTCATGGAGGCAACACGCAGCACCAATAAATTCCGGAGTGCATTAGAAGACGGTGATACAGCATTATGAAAGCTTCTCAACGCGTCTGCTTCCACTCTACGCCGACATTTTTGTGGGCTGAATAGGTGCAGCAGCGGGTTCTGGGCAGTGAACCTGCGTCTGTTGCGATCGGTCTCTGATTGGCTTATGCAGGGACTTACACCACCAGAGTCACCACCGCCGCGACGAATCTGAGGGTCTCCCCACGGCCGGGGGCCAAACCAAACAACTTCACACTATTCCCGATGTGGGAGTCTTACTTCCAGCTCGCCTCCTTTTCCTCCCTTCCTGTCCGTTTTGCCAGGTAGCCAGCAAGTTCTGTAACAAAAGCCATCAACTTCGGTTCGGAGCTTTCTCACGGATACCGCCCTCGTGGGATTCCTCGTCGGCTCGGAGTAACATCGTCGGGTGTCACCGGATCGAGGAACCCCTACCAAACAACGCCGTATGCACATATACCGTCATTGGGTGGCAGATCATTCCATTCCAGAAAATATTGACGCAATCCTGGCTCTGCCATCCATCCATCCATCCATCCCAACGGGACCCCCGCCCGATTTCGGCGCCATACCAGTTTCGTTTCTTCGCAATCCTCCAACAATTGGTGCCACGGATCGCGAGGCCCCCTGTTCCCCGACCCACGACGCCGGCTCAAACTCGGTCGGCCAAGCCGGGATCCGTCGTCGCACCCCACCCGTCGGCCCCGTTTCCCGCGTCACTGTGATTCTTACCACCGAGATCCGTGAAACTCGTCGTCCAACGTCGTTAATCAGCCTGGTGCTTGTCCATTTCTCACCAGCACGAAGTCCAGCCGTACTTCCCGCTAAAACCACTCAATTACTACATAGATATAGAAATTGGAAAGTAGGAGGATATTCATCAGCTGCCAAGTCAGGTATGCCAAGGTTCTCTCGTAGCCTCAGTGTGTCCGGTTATTGTCTTCGCGCTACGAAGATACTGATAGCATTTTGAGACCGCATCAAAAGATTTACAGCGAACTTGAGCTAGCAGACGTATCAGTGGTGGTCACGTCAGGGGCAGTGCGAGATGTGGATTGGAGCTTTGAGGACATTACGCCAGAACACCAGATGCAATCCCTACGTTCTTCATGACCCATGTGTGAACACAGTTCGCAATCACTACTTGGTCTTCGACTTTGATGTCTTCTCTCAGTTTGATGGAGAGTTTTACTAGCCGGGCAGTGTCCCCTATGACTTCAATCGTAGCGCACTCAGTACTTCGATCCGACGATAGGCGAAGATGATAGCCAACGACAATACAGGTTTTCAGAGGCGACGACGAAAATGAGCCCACAGGATATTCAGTCGCTTTAATATAGGAGAATAAGGGGTCTCAGTAGGATATACGGATTACACGCGTGTATGGCGGACACTGCCTTCCATCCTAGTTAACTCAATGGTCCCTTTTGGCGATCTAAGAAGTCAAATTGAACTCAGGCATCGTGACGAAATCGAGGAACATGTTAGGAGCTCAACAAGTGGCCGCAAGGAGCGATGAAATGAGGCCGTAGAGGGTAAGGAAAGCGCCTCGAGGACAGCTTTGACTGAAGCAAACGAGCAATAGTGCTCAGAACGCTTCTTAGCCAGGTAGAGGTTCACGTCCGAAGACAAAACCGACGGATATTGTTCCGGTGGCCTTCGAGGAACCATACGAGTGCTGCATTTGGGTTGCCCTGAAGACCTCGAGCGGAGTAGGCGCCGCAAGGCAACTGGCTCGCTTTGGTGGCTCGTGATCCTGCTTGAGAAGGCGTTGTATGTGGCATCGTGATTGGAGTCCTGATGATAGTGCATTTAGAATGACCCCTCAAAGCACATCTCACACCACATTCCCAACAAAAATGAATTCCCCTCAACTTGCACACTGTAGAATTCGGGCTTTACAAACTTGCACCCCTTCTATCGTCACATCTCAGAAGGTCCCGCTACGATGTGATTACCTGTATATGTTGCTGACATTTACCTTTGTTTTCTCATCATTACCTTGAATCTGTTCACAGTTTGGTCCACATGCTTGGTGCTGGTCTCGCCCTTTCCCGAAGTGTTTCGTGACATCCTTGTATATTTCATTCGGCAAGTGCGATTCATCACCACGCAGACCCACCGCTTCCTTCCATCTCTCGTACCTACCTACCTTACTTGACCAACTTCCATCCCATCTGCTTTCAACCAGTTCAGCTAGGGCCAAGTGGCCCAGTTGGTAAAACAAGAACAGCATAAATCAAATTCTTCTCTAGAGACGCTTCTGGCCCCTGAGAGGGGCGCTCGTTCGAATCTCGTCGAGGGCCATGAAAAGGGTGATTCCTTTTTGACGCTTTTGCTTTTTTATTTGTCCTGTTTGACAGTATTTTGCAGTCGAAAATTGACATGACGCAATACGGTCCCGAAAAAAAAACAGTACTTTTACCAGTTACCCATTTCGAGTGACTGGATCAGTCACCCTGTGTCAGTCTCTTGTGTCCACAATTCTAGATAGAAGCTTTGCGTGCCGAGAGCCATATGTCTCGTCCGCCTCATCCGTCCTTTCTCTCGCTCTAATTCAAAGTATTCGTAAAGCTCAAAAGCGGGATTATCTTCAGGGACCAGTAGATGGCTTCAACGTAAGGAGGTGGCTTGACGCCCACAGCAAGTCTCCACCGTCCACGAGAAGTAGACCTGCATCAAAAACTAATGAACGAAAAACCGTACTGTATGAATTATCTCATCCCCCTATAGGACATTTCTATTCAGTTTGGATTCAGGCATACAATATGGAATGATCTTCACCAATAGTGCCAACGTAATTTTCACCCAGGTAAGAGGTGTATTGTTAAAAACTCTTCCCGAACTCCTCCAAGCCTGTGTCTTAATTTCCCTCGTAGTCTCATCACCGCTTACCTATGAGCACGCCATCCGCGCCGATGCTGTGGCTTTAGTTTCGTGGCCACAGGCTTTGCGAACGCGTCCGCGATTGGCTTATAATCGCGCTGTCCGCGTGGCTCTCACCTGATAATCCCACTTCCAACCACGCGGCAGATAAACTCAAGTAAGATTAACGCGTTCTGGAAGTCTAATCAATTTGTGACTCACACGTCTCTTGTAGTAGTGCCCAAAAACACTCTTGTACTAATGACATTACCGTCGCCGGGTAATGTACTATGAACTTACAATCACCTACACAGACGAACAATATGAACTAAGAGTTCAGATGAACACGCTCATTGACGTCTCTGCTCCAGTAAAGCGGATAGCAAAGCATCGAATGGTGCAGACCGCCCAGTCACCGCCCTCTTGGCTCCCATAGAGTGTCTCCGACAGGTCAACGCCGCGCCACACATACGCCCATTCGGATAGGCAACCCCGCATTGTCGCTCAATGTCGACCGGCCCTGTATCGATCTTCGTGAGCACAAGCGGGTTAAAGTTTCTTGACAAATGCCATACCTCTGCCGTGCCCGTTCCGGCGTCTGCCTGAATGCACCTGTCCCGGGCCCGCTGGCTCACCGAGCGGAACGTTGGCGCCACTTGCAACCACGATACCTTCCGGATGGGCAGAGCTCATCATCGGGAAAGCAAGTCGAGATCGACAATTTTTAGACGGAGGAGTGTTTGCACTTCAACCCTTTTCAGCCGGTTTTGAAGCAAGGCGTGTAATAGTTGCAGCGGTTGCGGTTCACGGAGAACAGCCGACAGGCGAACCACAGAATGGGCTTCTTTGGTTGCAAAAGTTCCGGACGGGGGTTGATAGTGGAGAGGAACAGATAAAGTTTGAAGTGGCAGTCGAATCGGAGATGTGATGAGGGAGCAGTCAAGTGGTGGCACGTGGGCTTCTGCCTGGGAGAAATGGCGGCTCGGCGGGGTACCGGTGATATGTACCCATCCCGCCGCCGCCTCACCCGGACCCGGGGTCCGGACACTGGATGGATCACCTCCGACCGTTGACGATATCCTTGCTGATGATTCCGGCAGAGATAGGAAGAAAGTGGTTCCTACTCCAATGGGATCTGGCTCGTTTCGTAATCATCTTGCCTGGAGAACCCCCATCATGGTCGGCAGGAGGCTCTGGTCTGATACGATCTCAACTCCGACGTAGATCCAATGTGAGGTGATCGGCGGTCAAGAGCAGCTAGCCTCCGCATTGTATATATGAGGGATTGCCATTCTGGTCCCGGCTTCCTGAGACGACAAGCTTATTTTACCCAGACGTGCCAATTGGTGGATCATCACACGGAACGATGTCTGTGGTTCGCCAAGACACGGCAAGGGAATTTAGACCTACGCCATCATTGTGAAGTTGTCGATTCCTTGACAATGTCCAAGGCTATCAAAAGACCGAAGAAGATAAGGACGAGCTGCGGTGAATCAGCTAACGGGTTTATCGAGCTCCTTTGATCATGTTCCACAAACCTACCGCTAAGAATCCCACAGCGAGTGACGTGACCTCAAACCCGCCGGCGATCGCCTTTCCGCGAAGCATTGCCTTTTGAAGCCTCCAAGCCCGACAGGCACCGAGCAGGGTTGTGCATATCGAAAGACCATAGCATACGGTGGCTAGAGGCTTACCAAGCATGGCGTATCCGAATCCCGAATCTGCTTGTTGCAGGGCAAATAGTTGGGCGACGATGGTTCCGAGGATTGCTGTCGCGACTCCTGTACGGAGATATGCTAGGAAAGTCCGTTCAAGCGCTTTGGCGAGGCAGAGACGTCGTGTCAGTGATAGGACAGGGTCAATTGCGATTGAGAGAACTAAAGGGTTTCGGGCTACGGTAACAGGGCCTCAGCAAGAATGAACTGTGGATGAATCATGAGCACATCCCTGTCATTGCCAGGCTCATCTCCATTATGGAGGCTTGGCTCCGTGGACCGTGGACAGGATGTGGAAGCCCTCTAATCCTTGATCTTGATAATTTGCCATGTATGAAACTCCACTTGGAATAGTATTGACGGGCAAGAGAGGGCTGTACCACGTACCTAGGTGATCACGGCAGCTGTCGAAATCCACTACAACGCTGATCTGCTCGCTCCAGAAGCGTCGGACGAAACTTTGCTTCTTTGGGGAAATCGGCTCGTGGGCCGAAGATCCTAGGGCGGAACTCTGTGTGGTGTCGTCGTCGTCGGTATCTTGCGGGCATTGCGCCGGTGGGCGTTGTACGTTGTCTTCTTCCTTTTCTTGATGTCGCAATGGGCTGTCGTTTGGTGTGCCATGAGCTTCTTCTTTTGGAAGTTGCGGCTCCCACGCCTGCAGTTCGTATTCGACCATAGCCGGCACCGTAGTTTGCTGCAGGAAGGGCCCGAAGGCATGCGTAAGATACCGTATGTAAACACGGCACTAAGCCTCGGCCAAGAGAAGCCGTCGTAAGATTTGCGATGGGGAGGTCACAGCGACGAGTCTTCGCTAGCCTTTTTTCATGCAAGCGATACCATTTGGGGAGGGATGGAATGCACGAGAGTGGTGTAGTCGTGTTATTGTGCTGCAGGGCCTCGGTTTTGGTTGCTGCAAGGATTTCGCAATTCGGGAACTTGAAAGGGCTCAGAGTTAACAAGTAAGTGATTGCAAAAATTGCCATTGGGAGAGCAAAAACTGGAAAATCGAAACTATTCATCGTTTAGTACGGACATGATGTTTCGGGGATGGGACCGGCCGGACGGCAGTCGGGAGCGGCAAAGACCATGATACTATTGATGGATGGATGTATGGATCGGCTGCCGGTGATAGGAAACAGTTTTGGCGACAATTGGGCCATCCGCGATAGGGGAGTTGTTTGGTCGCCGAGAAGCGTGAGTACGGCGAGGTCCCACCGGACAAGGATGAGCGTGCAATGCGTTCATCATGTCTGCGGCAGTTGACGGCATCGGAGGAGCTCCGATAGCCCACTTCCAGCCATGGAGCCGGCCGGGTGGAGAAGAGCTTCTGCGGGGGAACTAGAGTCTGGGGATTGTGGAGTGTTCGCCGACGACATCGTGATTTGAAGGTGTGAGGAAATCATGTTGCTTGTAATAAGAAAGTCGCGCTATTCTGGAAACTTAGCAGGCGTCGCATAGCCCGAGTTGACAGTTGCCAAAACTTTGGATCGGGAACCGTTCGGATCCGCTCCGTGGAGGTTCAGTCTGATGTTGGCCCTCTGTTACAGAGTCCGGGACTGACTCAACATCTCAAAAAAGAAACACTATTGAGGAGATGCAAGACAAGGCAACCGGACATTCGGATGAGGCGGTTTTGCGAGTTTCTCCTTGGCGAGACTCTGACCTAGCTTCCCCGCGAGAGACACTAAGAACCTTTTAGAGGGCCGTTTCCATGAACCTGAAGACGGGAACGAAGAAAGGGCGGCCCAGAAAACTTCCGGCTGGTTGTTAGGTTCGTACGTCGGGTCGCCGCATGGCAAGCGAGGCAGGTCATATCGTCTCTGCTTGCTATATTCAGGTACCCGAACTCCCCTGCTCCTTCCGCGACGTCCAGATCGCTTTTCTGAGCTCCGGTGTTGGAAAGAGGGCAGAGCGGGGCACCGATGGGAACCTTCCCCAACTTCGCACTGCCAAGCGCGCAATCCTCCTTCCGTGATGCTTCCTTCACATATTGCAACCTCCACATCTCGACACCCCGACTTGACTTCCTGCCTGCCCATGCAGATGTAGAGCTTGACAACCAAATTACTGCATATCACCGACCTGCATCATCTCCGATCCTCGTCATGGAAGATTTTGCATGTGAAGTCCCAGCGGGAATGGAGCAGCGAAGAACCTCTGTTGTCTGCGTCACATCGATGGGATGAACCTTCGTCACAAGATGGCTGGTCGAACCGGTTCCTGAACCGCAAAACCGCACACCCTCTGTTCGCACGCCAGCGCACAGAGGTCGATACCCTGGACAAACTCTATTATCGGCCGCTTCCAGGGTGTCATCCATCTACGCCAAACGGCTTGCTAGGCGGCGGTGATCCTCTTCTTTCAATCGAGAATGCGACTTCGCCATGCAAGCGAGACAGCAATCGCCAGAACATCTCGATCCCTGGACGTGTCGAAGTTGTTCGCTCGGCTCGTCGCACTCTGGCGTTTGTCGATGGACCATGCCCTCCAACACTTCGGAACCCCGCTATGCCCAGAAACCAGGCACCGCCGGACACCGTACCTCGAAGCAACCCTCCATGTCCGTGGCACATCCTGTCAACGGCAATCCCCCGTGTTGGGTTTCTCGTTCCAAACAACAAAGACGTCTGGCTACATTTCCGGTTCATGGAAATAGAATTCGCCGTACGCTCTGCAAATCAAAGTTCAGACTGACAGTCGGCATGCCAAACTCTGGCGTTGATCATGTCCAGAGCCTGCGATTCAATGGCCTAATTTTCCATTGCAGCCTTGACGCTTCAGACAGTCATATTTTTGACCAACAGCAGGCTTGCCAGAGCTGAGGAACGATTTTCGGACAACACTTAACCACCAGCAACAACGACACCAGTCATGCCGCAACGGGAAACAAGCATGGCCAAAAGCCGTCCCTCTGGGACTCGGAATTCGGGCCCCACCACCCCTGGCATTTTCTCTCCGGTTAGCCAATCCGTCGCGGCCATCCGGGCAAGCCGGGCCGTCGCGCCGCCAGCTGGATCCTCTAGTCAGGGTTGGTGCAGGAGCGAGGAAAAGGCAACGTGGATCTCGAAATGCTCCTGTCAGCCATATGCAGTCTCCCGTCCGTCCTATCCTACTGGACATCACTCTCCCAACCATAGCCGCCTTCACCACTGAAATCGAAGTGGCCAAATGCGGCCCTTTATATCTCTCACCACTCAACTGTACATGATGCCGATCTCTTACGAGTTCTAGAAGCTCTGAAGACGCCCAGCTTCTTGCTGCGCTGCGAGAGCACGGGTAGTGGCCTCATTGGTGTGCTTTGTGTGCAATTGCCACTGCCAAACTGCCAAGTCCCGGCATTGCAAGATTCTCTGCATCGAAGGGCCGTCGGAAGATGGTGCCTGGACATTGCACCATGAGATACTTCACACCATTGGCCGCTCGAAGCATTAGCCAGCAGCAGACCATGTTCGTCAGCTGGTTTGGTATCCGTGGCATTATTTCAGCAGATTGATTATTGAGACTTATCAGCTGGACATTGCACGCAATGCGCAGTTCTGGAGCGATCCCACCTTGAGGCCCTCTTCTTCGGATGGAAGCGACGAAGGCCAGCCTGTCCGACGGTCCCTGTAGCCATGACCATGCGGCGATAGCAACCGGTATGCCGGGGGCCCCATCCTAACACACCCATGGAGAGGCTGTGTGGAGTGACTGGAGGCATGCGGGGATACTAAGGTGAATCTTGGTTCTCACCACAAATCTTTCGGCTTGTTCTGGGATCCCACATTCCAATAAGACGAGGTCAATAGCGGTTCTTCATCCTGATGCTGCTGAAGATTGCCATAATCCGGAGTCGATTATCACGATGCAACGGACACGTTAGGCCAAGGAAAACAGGGCCAACGACTTTCTCGAAGCATACGGTCCTGCATCTTCCTGCGCCATCCCGCTTCGGGCTTTTTTCTAGGTACTGTTAGCTGGTGCTAGCTCCACATCTTGCGGCCATGCAATGATGGAGGTACGAACATGGCAGCCCTGAAATAAGGTACGATGCTTTAAACGGAGCCGTAACCGATGTTACAACCAAGAAGATGCACGATTTAGCTAACCTCACCCCCAGGGAATGCTCTGACGGGAAGCTGTACAGCGCTTCGGTGTGTCTGGTTCCCCCACTTAGTCACACTATTCACTGTCAGTTTGTCAATCTGATGCACTCCCCAAATAATCAACCCCAACCTGTGCAGTTTTCTCAGCTTATTCAACTTCCACCGCAGAAACGGTCCGCCCCTACCGGCGTGCCTACTTTGCCCAGAATGCAACAAAATAACAAAGGCGCAACATCCATGGAGAGCAGGCATGGACCATGCAAGTCAACATCTTGTATGGGAAATCGACCAAGAAGGCACTCTGGGTTATCAACGCGCCAGCAGTCAGCGGAATACCGGCATCCCTCACCTGCAGGAGAGCTGAAGTATTTTGCGCATGATGTCTTTCCATCCTCCTACTGACCCGATGCCTCCGTTTTGTATCATATACGGACGGAGAAATACCCTCATACAGCCGGCATATTACGAATGGGGGTTCCGTTTGTTCCTTATCCGGGGAGAAGTGGCTCTCCGTCCCTGCGCATACTAGTCTTCTTTACGTCCCCTGCCTGCGTGGTATCTTGCCATCTTCCTCGCTCACCCCCTTCCACACCTGTTACTATCATTCCCGTCCTTTTTCTCTCCACCGTTGGCCCATATTATCTTGATACCTAGTGATGATCTTTCATTTGTACCGGTTAAATGTCGGCCTCGGCTGCTGAAAAGCGTTCGTGCTGGCAGTGCACCCACGCCTCGGGTTCCATATAAGTCTTATGAGTCCATCACTACCTTATTGCTTCTCTCTCAACTGAAGCTTACTACATGTCGAATATCCCCCCGTAGTGGTCAGATTCGAGGAAGCACGTCTTGCAAAGGACACAATTACTTGTCAGGGTTTCTTTTTTGGTTTGACCTTTCTCATTCCATTTTCTACACTGAACATACCTTTGGGCATTGGCGTCAGGCTCCTTGTATCCTTGCCATCGCTGTCTTTCAACCCACAACACTTCGCTGTCCGTCTTTCTACGCAAGTTGGAAGTGTTTTGGCCTGAAGATTGGAGCTCGACCCCAACATGAACAGTTTGACTCAGCGAGCTAAGGATCACGAAGTCGATCCGCCAGCCACTCCCCCAGAGACCGAGATGAGCAACTCAACCCCAAACACGGAGTTCTCTCCTCCATACAGCCCCCAACAAAAGGTGCAGCAGATAATGAAGGACACCAGGGTGGCAGCGAGGAAGAAATTGGAGCAGCTCACGCTTGAAGAGAAGGTACGGCTAATGAAGTCCCTTCGTAATATGGAGAAATGTTGCTGACTCTTTCTGGAGGTATCTCTACTTACAGCCGCAGACTTTTGGAGAACGAAGACAATCCCATCCAGGAATATCCCAGCGATCAAGACATCAGATGGTCCCAATGGTGCTCGCGGGGGGATATTTGTCGGGGGAACCAAGGTCTGTCACTTTGACCGAGTACTCCAACTGATGGGCAACTGACTATACAAGGCTGCACTATTCCCTTGCGGCGTATCTCTCGCAGCGACTTGGAATAAGGAACTGCTCTACGAAGTCGGACAGCATCTGGCAGATGAGGCCAAGGCTAGGTCTGCCAACGTTCTCTTGGCGCCGACCGTCTGCATGCATCGCCATCCTCTCGGTGGACGCAACTTCGAGTCCTTTTCTGAGGACCCCCTTCTGACCGGGAAGCTGGCCGCTCAGTATATCCTTGGCCTACAGGAAAAAGGAGTTGCAGCAACCATAAAGCGTTTGTGTTCACCAGGCAATGACATTTTATCAGTTTGAATGCTAACATTCGATAGATTTCGTGGGCAATGAGCAGGAGACCCATAGATTGACAATAGATTCCCTCATCCAGGAGCGTCCGCTTCGCGAGATCTACCTTCGACCATTTGAAATCGCTGTTCGAGAGGCGAATCCATGGGCTCTGATGTCTTCGTACAACCTTATCAACGGTGTGCATGCGGATATGAACAACTTCACGCTTCGGGACATTCTTCGAGGCGAGTGGGGTTACGATGGGTAAATCTACCTCTGATGACTTCTTTAAAGACTTGACTGACATTGCTTAGAACTGTTGTTTCCGACTGGGGCGGTACCAACTCTACATCCGAGTCAATCATTGCGGGATGCGATATTGAATTTCCCTACTCTTCCAAGTGGCGTTTCGATAAAGTCATTGAAGAGATGAAGAACGGCAAGATTGCCAAAGAGGACATTGACCGTGCCGCTGAGAACGTTCTCACTTTGGTCGAACGTCTAAAGGGCGACGATATGTCTGCAGAGGAAGCGGAGAAAGAGGACAATCGAGAATCGACAAGAAATCTCATTCGTACCGCAGGAGCAGAGGGGCTTACCCTCCTGAAGAATGATGGTGCCATCCTTCCTCTGAACCCAAAAACAACAAAGGTCGCTGTGATAGGGCCAAATGCGAATCGAGCAATTGCAGGAGGTGGAGGCAGTGCCAGTCTCAACCCATACTACAGAACCATTCCTCTGGAGAGCATTCGGGCTGCATCAGAGCAGGAAGTCACCTTTGCGCAAGGATGCCATATCTACAAGTGGCTTCCGGTCGCGTCGCCATACTGTACCGAGAAGTCGGGCAAGCCAGGCGTTGGTATTGATTGGTACGCCGGTGATAAGTTTGAGGGAGAACCCATCGTCATCCAGAGACGCACCAACACAGATCTATTCCTCTGGGACTCTGCCCCGCTCAGCGAAATTGGTCCTGAATGGTCAGCCGTCGCTACCACCTATTTAACATCAAAGACAACCGGAAAGCATACTGTCAGCTTCATGAGTGTTGGGCCTGGAAAGCTGTATGTCAACGGAAAGCTTGCCTTGGATCTATGGGATTGGACCGAAGAGGGGGAGGCCATGTTTGACGGCTCAGTGGACTATCTGGTTGACGTCGACATGGAGGCTGGGAAGCCGGTTGAGCTCAAGGTCGAGATGACCAACGAACTCCGGCCCATCGCCAAGCAGAAGCAATTCGGCATCACCCACAAGTACGGAGGCTGCCGAATCGGTTTCAAGGAAGAGGACCAGGTCGACTTCCTCCAAGAGGCAGTAGATACCGCTAAGGCAGCAGACGTGGCTGTTGTCATCGTCGGGCTCGACGCGGAATGGGAATCTGAGGGATACGACAGACAAACAATGGACCTTCCGTCTGACGGAAGCCAGGACAGGCTCATTGAAGCAGTTGTCAAGGCAAACCCCCGCACTGTCGTTATCAACCAATCCGGCACACCAGTCGCTATGCCGTGGGTTGACCAAGTGCCCACCATCATCCAAGGTTGGTATCAGGGACAGGAGGCCGGAAACGCCCTTGCCGATGTACTCTTTGGATTCAAGAATCCCAGTGGGAAGCTCCCGGTGTGTACCACATGTCCCGTCTCCAGCGTCCACTAATGTCCTTTAGTCTACATTCCCCAAGCGCATTCAAGACACCCCTGCTTACAATAATTGGCCCGGGGAGAACCTGAAGGTCAACTATGGTGAAGGCCTGTACATTGGCTACCGCCATTATGAGCGAGCACGCATCGAGCCTCTATTTCCATTTGGTCATGGCCTTTCCTATACCACCTTCGAGTACGGACGCCCCTCGATCAGCACCAAGACGCTTACGTCCCGGGGAACGATTGAGGTGGTCTTCGCGGTGAGCAATATCGGCTTAGTGTCTGGCTCCGAAGCCGTGCAGATTTATGTGCGTGATGACAAGTCGAGGCTACCCCGTCCGGAAAAGGAGCTTGTGGCCTTCGAGAAGGTGTACCTGGAAGCCGGGGAGACGAAGCACCTCCACATTTACCTGGACAAGTACGCCGTAGGCTATTATGACACATCCGTCCCGGGATGGATCGCTGAGGAGGGCACCTTCAAAGTCCTAGTTGGCGCGTCATCTGCTGACATCAAGTAAGTTGCCGTTATTGTCACCTGCGAGGTACAGGCACTAACCGTGACTGCCAGACACTCTGTCCAATTTGATGTGAAAGAATCCTTCAGCTGGGTTTTCTAGACCTGAGTTTCCTTTGATCCAGGATACATACCATGTCATTTGTTTCATTATTTCAGTCATGTATCTCACCATATTTGAGATGTCATAGCCGGGTAAATGTATGAATTTGTGGACACATCCAGGTCACCAATGTCTCTACATAGGAACAAGACAAGTTGCGTTGCACTCCTTCATCATCACGCCCTCTTTTTGTAACTCATGGGGGGCTCCAGGTACAGGATTTGACCTTAAGAAAGGATGTCGGTGACTGCCTGCGTCATTCGTCTGCATGCGAGTGGATTTTAGTCTACTCAGGGGGCACATGACAAGAGTGGAACAGAAGCCCGGTTCGTGTCGCAAATGTATCGATTACGTCTTTGACAGAGCATCCAATCTTGTACGTTATGGGAATCTGCAAGTGAGTCTCGTGCCAGACTTACCGCCAGAGACATGCATGGTGTTCCGAGAAACGGTTCGGCCTGGGGTACACGCCTCGGAACCAGTCGGCTTGTTCATACGTTTCTGCCTGTAACGGCGACTTATACCGTTTACCAAAAGTGCCTGGGTTGTAGACGGTGGTGTGGGATCTCGGGACGAAGCTTCCATGCTTCCCAGAGCGGATTGATGGGGGCGTGCTCCGAGCCTTACCTTATCTTGCATCGTGAGGGGAGCTCGATGGTACCCTGTCTTCCGGTGAGGCCCCTGGCCATGGTGAAGGTCTTTTGTTTCCACCAATATATGCTAATGAAGAAGACATGGTTCGTGTTGATTGTCAGTGTCCACGTGTATGTGCTACTTTGGGGGATTGATGTTGTGATCGTCTGCTGGGCCCGTTGCAGTGAGCATGGGGCCGTGGGGGGTTGCGTGGTGTCTCGCAGCCACGAGGTTTGTACTTGGCGATTCTGGGGGTTTGGGTGGATGGGTGGTGTAGCGATGGCATGTGATGTTGTGAGCCATGGATCTCGTCGTCACTAGGGAGGCGCCCACGGCGTTATGTAGAGAGGTGTAGCTGGGGGGTTGGGTGTGTAAACAGCTCACGAGCTCGCATGGACATGCCGCGGAGAGGCTCCATTTGTTGCGATCTGACGTGGTATCAACGTTGCAACGAAGCCAATCTCGTCTCGGTAGCCGGCTGAATGGGAGTCGTACAGCACGAGAGTCACGAGGCATATGTCGGTTCCAAGAGTTTGCGGCGATGGTGATGATGGTGGTGGTGTTTTGATAAAGTCATGTATGATAGTGTGCGGAGGATGGTTGAAGTCTCGGACCGGTCAGCGTTGTGTCGGCTTACGGGACTTTTCTTCGGCGAAGATTATTGAGTGTATGTAGAGGCAAGTCTATTTGGAGGAAACGTTTCAATGGAGAAGAGGAGGTGGCGATGGCTTCATTATTTTGAATAACTGGGATTACCTCAGCCAGCAAAGCACACGCCCCTCATTAACCCGAAAATGAACACATCCCGTCTCAGCCAACGACATCATTAGATTCGCCACGACGCTACTTTCAGGCCTGTTTCTCCTTGCCGTCTGCAGCGACAGGTATGCACAAGATAAACATCAGACAACCGCCCTCGCTCCGGAAAGGGCCGTGTTCCATGCCGGGCTTGCGGTATGCGTAGGCGCCCTCGGTCCAGCCCTCGCCCAGGCGGACGTCGAAGAGGTCGCCCTGCGCGAGGTAGATCTCCTCGACATAGTCGTGGACGAAGAGGGGCTGGCGGTTGGCGGCGCCGGGGCGCCAGCGCTGGAGGGTCGTGCGGCGGCCGGTGGCCGGGTCGGCGTTGAGGAGCATCTCGTCGACGCCGGGTTCTAGCTCGGTCCAAGTGCGGCCGGGGGCGGAGGCTGCGGGGTGGAACTCGAATTGTTCCATTGCGCAGCTGTGTGTGTGCGACGGGTTCGTTGTTCCCGGTGGGACTTTGGGTGTTGTTTGTAAGTTTGGTGCGTGTTGAGATGAATTTGATGAGGTTGGTTGGGCGAGAGCTTGTTTGTTAGTTGAGTTCATTCATGCCTTTGAATGACCTTTTGAAAGTTCAATGCATTGTTGCTCTTGGACACGGCTCATCACTTTGGCTTGGCCGTTCACTCGACCTAGGTTGATTTCTAAGCCTGGAATGTCAGTGTAAGAGGACGTCATTGGCGATGCTGATGGTTGAAAGTCCTTGGAAATCCATGCCTTGGGCTGATGGTCGAAAGACCAAAGTCCCATGCCGGGAAATCCTTCAGTTGCGATGAGGTAAAGGCTAGACTCGGCGTGTAAAAAGGAACAAGAGTGGAAGGTAGGTTGCTTTTGCGGGTTAGACCTGCCGAGCGTAGCCCCGGGGAAAAAGGAGCGTCAAGTGTGGAGCTCCCTTCCCAGTCGAGCTGAAGTGTAGGTGCTTATGTGGGCTCAGCTGCAGCAGCTATCCGTACCTACCTGGGTCCACGGGTGCTTCCAGCGACGTTTCCCCCCAGCGGGGACCTGGCCGGTGGAGGGCGTCGGGGGCATCCCAAGCTGCCAGGACCGCCCCGTGGCCATATCGTGATCCGTGAAATGGGTGCGGCGACACATCTCCTGCACCTTCCCTTCAGGTTCATTGTCGCCACGCGTCTTCTCTCCTTTACTTTCCAATGCCCATTTCCTCCATTATCTCCCCTTTCCATTCTCAGCTCTCCGACGCAGGCGCCCGACAGCCTTTGTAACGGAGCTACAGACAGCTGCAAAACGTGTTTCTTGTGTTTCCCATTGGTTTTCTTTGTTCCGTTGTACCCGACTGAGGTTACCCACGTTGGCTGGACCTTTCCCTTGCTTCATTCCATCGTTCCAACCTTGTGTCATGTCAACCATTTGAGACTGCGACCCCCAGATCTATTCCTGACGAGCGAGACAATCGCGCGCGACCTGCCGAAGCCGAAGAACCGCGCGCCCATATTCCATCCACCCACACACACGGCGCGCATAGTACATACACCCGCATACGCAAGCCTGCCCACACACGCTTGTCAGGCTTCTGCGACCATTCCATTCCGGGGTCCCGAAAAAAAAAGGGAGCAGCCAGCCCAGAGTTGCAGGGGAATGGCACGCGGGCGCACCACGGCATGATGGCTCCGCCTTACAGCAACGGGTACGCCTACAAGGGCAAAGGTCCTTCGGCTTTGCTCTTCCAACACAGTGGCGGTAGCTTCCGCGACCGCGCCAGACCTGTCCTCAACGCCGCTGCCCGACTATCGCAAAGACTCTGGCATTTTTGGCAAACCCGCGGACGACGCATGACCATCAGTATGCTGTACCAGGCCGGCTGGCAGCTGCGCCAGAACCTCACCGCGCGCCGCCTCCTGAGCTTCCCCCACCTTCTGGTGTGCTTATGGATGCTCATCCTGCTTTGGGGCGAGCGCTGGGTGTTCAGCAGTCGGGTTGCCGACTGCAGATGGAGCAATTGGGAGAGCTGGGTAAGCTGAGCGTCCCCGTGCTCGGAGGATGCTGTACTGACAATGGACAGCCCGCAGGAGCGAACCCTCACCACCTCATTTTCGTTGCCGACCCCCAAATCACCGACCCTCATTCATACCCCGGAAGGCCATGGCCTCTGTCGGAGCTGACCGTACTCATTACCGATAATTACCTTCGAAGAGGCTTCACGCAGCTTCAGTCGCAGCTGGTACCCGATTCGCTCTTCTTCTTGGGCGACCTGTTCGATGGAGGGCGAGAGTGGAAGACGGGCAAGGGCGACTGGGCAGACCCTGAATGGGCAGCTGCGCGACGACCCAAGAGCGAGCGGCCACACGCAAAGGAGTGGAACGAACATTACGGCGACAAGTACTGGTTGAGCGAGTACGAACGATTCGGCGACATATTCTTCAGCGATTGGGCGAGCCTTGGTGGTACCAAGGCTGGGAATTGGCAGAGAGGGCGCAAGCTGGTTGCAAGCTTGCCGGGCAACCATGACCTTGGCTACGGCGACCAGGTCAAGGTGTCGGTCAGAGAGCGCTTCGCATCATTCTTTGGCGACGTCAATCGCGTCGATGTTATTGGCAATCATTCCATTGTCTCCGTCGATACTCTCTCCTTGAGCGCCAGCTCATCGGTGCAAGCTGAGCGAGGCGATCTGAGACCGATTCACACGCCAGCGGACGTCTTTCTCAAGGACGTAAAGTTCACCAAGAGGAAGGCTGTGGAGAAGGAACTGCGCTTCTGGAGGGGCGACGTCGAGGGTCTTGGGTACAATCACTTGGTGGAAGATCTGGAAACGGCGGACGTCGAAAACGTCCCGACGATTGCACCAGGCGAAGACGGTCCCGACTTTCCCACGATTCTTCTCACGCATGTGCCGCTGTACCGAGACCCGGGAACTCCCTGCGGACCGTACCGGGAGCACTGGCCTCCTGCCAAACCGCCAAGAGGTCAGAAAGGTCCCGTCATCCCGGATCATCGGAACGCAATCTCGGTTTCCGGCGGTTATCAATACCAGAATGTGCTGGACGAAGATGCCTCTGTCAATCTCGTGAAGAGCGTGGGTAATGTGGTTCATGTCTTTTCCGGTGACGATCACGACTATTGCGAGGTGGTTCATTCCCCTAAGAAAGAGAGCGTCCGCGAGATCACCGTGAAGAGCATGAGCATGGCGATGGGTGTTCCGACCCCCGGCTTCCTCATGGTCAGTCTGTATAACCCAGTCGATGCCAATGGCAAGCCTCTTCCCGGCGCTCCGGAAAAGACGCTGCAAACCCATCTTTGCTTGTTGCCAAACCAACTGGCTACTTACGCCAAGTACGTCGGCTTCATCTTCGTCAGCGTTGTCGCCATTAGCATCCGATCGTTCCTGGTACCTGTCCTCAACCTGACGCCGTTCGCTCTGGAGGCAGAGCAACCGAACGGCGCCATCCTACCCACTTTCAAGGAAAAGGTAGAGGACGAAGGAACTTACAACATGCGGTCGACCTCGGCATCGTCCGGAACCCGGTACCAAACCAACTCGTCGTCAAGAACCAGAAGCGGATCGCTTATGAACGGCTCCGCCCCTCTCCCGCCACCCAAGACCAAGCAAAAGAAGCAGGGCTGGGGGCACCGCACGCCGAGAATCGAAATCTTCCAAGACGACTTCTACGGAGCCGGCAAGCCTCGGTTGACTTGGAAGGCAGCGTCACAGCGGTCGAGAACGACGGTTGGACGCGTGGTCCGAGAGATTGGCTTCTCAACGTGGAGAGTCACGTGGATGGTGGTCTTGTTTTGGTCATATCTTGCATATAAGGGATAGAGAGGTTCCGCATTCTCCAGCATGTATTATTATTATTCATCATCGTTTTTCGAAGACTCTGGCATCGAGCGGATTTTGCATTGGCGGGCTCTTTGACTGAAAAACTGCTGGGTCGAGTCACTGGATACAAAAAAAGGTCCGTCGGCGTTGTCGTTTCCTTGTATTATAGCACATCTGTCAAAGAGTCCAAAGGCTTTGAATTACAGGCTTTTGATGACTATGGTTTCTTGAACTTACACATGATCCATTCACGCAGTCTGAAAGCATGGCCACCCCCAATTCTCAAACTACGGACCCATTTGTAGTTTCCCCTTCAAGCTCTGCTAGCTCAAATTATCCCTGCTGGGTTAATTCCGTCCGCAGTCTGTATCAGCGAAAGCAAGCTTGAGCAGCAAACCTATGCCTCTGAAGCGCACGCTTGATTCGCTGCTTTGCCAGGTACATCGTTGTTGAGCTGAGAACCTGGGCTAACTTACACAGTATGTTGGATGAGTATCGAAGTGACGAGTACTCGTCCAGCAGTAACGACCAAACGAAATATCCTGTTGATATCCAGAGCAAAACCGGCATAGCACCTGCGAGGGTCTAAGTAGTACACAAGAGACATCTTCGGGGTGGAAGCTGAGATTCAACCAAGTTGCCGAGTTTTACGAGAAAACCAGGTATAAAATTCCTGATTGAGCCATCTTGAGGAAGGAAAAGACCACTGTCACTGCATTCAGATGGGTAAGTGAATCAAGTCCAAGGCTTATACATGACTCTGGCGCCTTCCAAATGAATGAGTCCAACATTGGAAGGCGCAACCCGCTTTAGCAAAGACTGGACAAGGCAGCCGCACCTTCCCCTTCGTCGCGACTTCCGTCTTTTCTCAGATGAAATCTCACTACCTACCTACATATCTTACCTAGGTAGAAATTTCTTCTCGGCACTTCCATCCTTCCCACGAAAATTCTGCCAGTCGCCAACTGCACATTGATAACCTCCTACAGACAACAAAATTTCCTCGCTTCTGAACTTGGATGTGCAAACGATCGACGGGTGATGGCAGACATGCAGACACTTCCCGAACCTGCCAACGGCGATATCTTCGCCTTTGGTGGGAAGTTGACGATCGGCAACGCCGCCACCAACGTGTTCATCATCCACGACACGCGTCCAGGCGGCACGGCGTTGCTGCCATCCAGCCTCTCGGTCAGCTTCGTCTTGGAGAATGTGTACTACATTGACGCAGCTCTCTTCTCTCGCTATTGCAGCACCCTGGTCGGCGGCACTCTCATCAAAGGCTTGGGTCTCCAAGCCGAGGGGTGCCATTTGGGCGACAGGTCTATCGACACCGTCTACGATGATATTGTCTGCGTTGTGTCTGACCAGGCTGGCTCCAGCTGCTCGATTGGATCTGTAGCTGGGGATTTCATCTCCGTTACCGATCCTGATGATGCCTGGAAGGACCCCGAGCTGCCTCCCAACCTCTCAATCACTCATATTGCTGGACAATCCACCAGGGAGTCTCTCAGAGCAGACGAAGGCAGCCTGGCCAGAGCCATTTCCACCTGGTCCTCGATGAAGTTTACTCCTAGTCAGCCTGGAGTTGGACACACACCAGCAATTGCGATGGGTACGGACCTCGGTGCTGACAAGAATACATCCATGCCTTCTCAGCCTTTCAGTAGGTCTTTGCAGGCCAATCCACAGGAGAACGTCGAGGCACAGCTCCTGAAAGCACTCTCAGAGCTAGACGAGGCCCGCCAAGAGCTTGCCTCTTGGAAGCAGCAAAGCCTGGGTCCCCATCATGAACTTGCTCTGCCAAAAGTGGAGATAAGTCACCCAGAAAACCTCGCTCTTACAGATTCGCAACGCAAGCAACTGCCAGCTCCGGTGCCGCTAGCGATTGTCTGTGGTAACTGTGACAGGCCTGGCCACGAGGTTTGCGATTGTATCGGACCAGTGGATGATCGTGGGTTCATCGATGCATGCCCCCTGTGCAACACTCGAACCCACGGATTCGACAAATGTCCAAAGGTGCCATCTCGCCGCGGCGGCAAGAGCACTCTAAAGGCGATCCGATTCGAGTACTTGGTCCGTCTACGCTCCAACAAAGCCCCCATCAAATCGCACAACTGCTGGGTCGCCATCTGGGTGCAAGGCGGGATGCCGTCCATCCCCCTTCCTCACACCAAACAATTTTCACTCAAGTTGAGCCAAGATCCTTCGAGCGCTTATAACGCTCCAGATTGGCGAACTTACGAATACAATCGCCAGAGCAGCATCACGTTCAACGAATTGGTTCAAGATCCCGACACGGTACTTCGACCGGGGCAGGCTTGTCAACTCGTGCCTGGGTCACAGACTATCATGGCCACCGGGCAAAGCTACCGCAGTGTCAAGGGCAAGATGCAACGAGCACAGAGCAAGATTGAATCAGTGTATTCAGCTAAGCACGACGATGCTCAGCCCAAAAAGCAGCCGTACCGCCGTCAGCCTCAGCCGCAACGAAAGAAACAAGCCGCATTGAAGCAGTCGAAGAAGACCAAAAAGAAGCAATACGCCCGGCATTCACTAGACGAAGAGGAGTCCAAGGACAAAGTCAAGAGAGAAGCGGGAGATATTCCCAGTTTTGCCACAGGGGCCAACTGCACTATACTGCAGCAGCCGCTTCCAACTCTCCCCGCCAGGGAACACATTCCATTTATCAAGCAAGAGCCTGTGGACTACTGAAGGAGTCAAACATGACTTCACGCATCAAGACTGGCGAATTTACTATTTGTCATGAGGCCGTGTTGACAGCCGCTGTCTGCGTGTACGGGATAATCAACGCATTGGGAACGGACGACAGGCTTTTACTTCTTTGCGCAGCCATCGTCTGACGCTTGATTATCATTATGTTCTCTAGGAATTCTCCAGATCATTAATACAATGGCTTGCTGAGGTCGGAATTTCCTTCATTATTTCGAAGACTTTTGATGTTTCGTGGTGATCAAAGCGAGCCATGCCACGAGCCGTAACTTGTGCCTGCGGATGTTTCAATGATCTTGCCAAGCTCCATAAAAGATACAGAACATCGGCGAAGATAGGTTTAGACGAACACAGCTTCTCAACTGCGCCGCAATCAAGTAAACCCATCCACACCACTGTCCAAAGGCAGAAAAGCATGCGCTACACCAACCTCTGAGAACTGTTGGCAACTGAACGACTCGGCACCGAGAGCCTGGGCTCGTATACACCATGACTATATACTATGAAGAACACGACGTGCTCGTTTTCGTTCGGGTTTGAATGCGATTCGCTGCTCGTATCGCGGACTGATGGCAGGGCCCGATAGCAGCGAGAGCCCGGGAGGGTGGTCGACCTTTCCTGCAATGAAACGCGCGGCAGTTCAGGCAGAGAACCGCTGGATGGGCTGGCTTGCGGGTATAGTTTCCCATGGCGCACCCCTCACGACTTTGACTGCGGGAAGGTTCGTGCTACGGATTACCGTCTGATGTTGTGGTGCGGAGGACAGCTTATGGGAGGTTTCCCGTCTTGGCTTTTGCGTTGCCTAGATTGCTTATTTAGTCGTCTTGTGGAGAAATTTGTCGGTCTCATTAGCGGGAATGAGGAGTCGTTGAAATAGGGTGACGCTGTTTGGAGGTTGTCGTGTTCGGAACGACTGACAATGAGGGTTTCTGGATGCCTTGAGCAATGGAAGGAGCTGGGGCATCGACGCGTGGGCCGCTTTGCCCCTGAAGCTAACAATGAGAAAAAAGTATGAATACCAGGACGAGTCCAGACCTCTTTTTTGCAGAGATGGCCGTTGTGTAGCGTCAGTAGTATCTATCGTGTTGGAATCAATCGCAACTGACGCAACATGGCGGTGACCACCATGATGCTCCAGGCCTTTGGCCTCGTACTTCTTGCTGTAAGTGCCTCCCGCCGTAAACGTTCGAGATGCCTTCATTGTCACGTCCTCGGAACCTTTGTAACCGACACTCACATAAATTAGACGTCCATCTACACCGTCTCCTACGTCGTCTACAACATCTTCTTCCACCCGCTCCGCCATTTTCCCGGACCCCTCCTGATGCGCGCAACCCGCGCCGCGTACTGCTACAGACTCGTCCGCGGCACAATCTCCTTCGACATGCTCGACCTCCACCGCCGCTACGGCCCCGTCGTACGCGTCGCGCCGGACGAGCTGGCGTTCTCGGACGCGGACGCGTGGAAGGTGATCTTCGGCCACAAGGTCGGGGCCAACGCGGGGGGCGGCGTCGCCGGCACGTTTGAGAAGTCGGACACGTTCTACCGGCCGATCCCGGGCTTGCCCCGGGACATCATCACGGCGCTGGGCCCGCAGCACGCTGCGCTGCGGCGGCAGATGGCGCATGGCTTCAGCGACCGCGCGCTGAGGGAACAGCAGCCTGTTATCATGAAGTATGTGGACCTCTTTATACAGCGGCTCAAGGAGCAGGCGGCGAGACAGTCGGCGGCTTCTATACGTGAAGCTACGCCGTTTGCGAGGAAGGAAGAGCAGGAGGAGCCGGTGAATTTGACGCTGTGGTATAACTACTGCACGTTCGACATCATCGGCGACCTAGCGTTCGGAGAGCCGTTTGGGTGTCTGGACAATTCGGACTATCACCCGTGGGTGCGGACCGTGTTCCAGATGGTGCGGGTGGGCGTGGCGTTCCAGACGGCGAACCACTACTCGTGGCTGCGGCGTATTATCACGGCGGCGCTGTCGACGGAGGCGATGCACCGGCGGAGAGAGGAGCAGCGGGAGATGACGATGCAGAAGGTACTGAGGCGGATCGAGCTGGGCAAGAGCGGGCCGAGGTCGGACTTGGTGGAGGGTTTATTGAAGAAGAAGGATGAGTGGGTGAGTTTTTCTTCTCCCTTCCTTGACTTCTTACGAGCCCATAAGTGAGTGGCATCTTTGTCGCTGACGAGCGTATAGAACATGTCGCTAGACGAGCTCGAGGCGAACAGCAGCATCCTCATCATCGCCGGCTCCGAGACCACGGCAACGGTCTTGGCCGGGGTCACGTACCTGCTGCTCAAGAACCCGGACAAGATGGCGAAGCTGGTGGAGGAGGTGCGGACGATGTTTGCGTCCGAGGAGGAGATTGATCTCACGTCGGTGAACAGGTTGACATACATGCTGGCTTGCCTGGACGAGGCGCTGCGCATGTATCCGCCAGTCCCCACGGGGCTGCCTAGAGAAGTGCCCAAAGGCGGGGCGACGATTTGCGGGCAATTTATCCCCGAGAATGTGAGTTGTTGAAGGCCGCCATGTGATCAGGAAGTGTGGTCGAGATGGAAGGAGGTGTAGTGCTGGATATTCACTGACCAGCGTATGCAGACCATCGTTGCGATTCACCAATGGGCCACGTACCACGACGAGAGAAACTTCAAGAACCCGTTCAAATTCCATCCAGAGCGCTTCTTGGGAGATCCGGAGTATGCGACGGACAAGAGGGAGGCGTTGCAGCCGTTCCATCTGGGGCCTCGGAATTGCCTTGGACGAAAGTGAGTCTCTCTATCCTTCTTTTTCTGCTGTTCCACGTCTCCTTCGCATTGCATGGTATCTTTCGGAGGGAAGGGACCAGCCAGAGGCTAATCATGACCAGCTTGGCCTATGTCGAGATGAGAATCATGCTGGCGAGGATGATTTGGAACTTTGACTTGGTGCTCGCCGACGACAGCCAGGATTGGATGGAGAGGCAGATGATCTATGTGTTGTGGGCCAAGGGCGCGCTCAACGTGTACCTGAAGCCTGTTGTGAGAAATTGAGAATCTTAGAGTTAGAACAGCGGCTGTCATATGAGGGGAAGGAGAGCTCAACCTTATGCCCGGCCGTCTCGGCATCGCCGTGCCGGTACCCATTCGGTGCAGAGACCCACCGCCCGGTTGCGGAGACACCGCGCCGAGCACCGCTCGTCAGACAGCATCACAGGCAGAAAATCGGACATGACCATTGTTCGTAATCGTTGAAAATTCTTCATTCGTGCCCCCGTGTGGGGGATGTGGTATTCAATACGCTTCATCTCTACTGTGGCACTTCAATCCTGCCCACAAGACTCCAAAAACTCCGCTGAAGACTTTTTAAGCACTGCCGCCCTAAGCAACACTGTCTGCTTCCGTCCCTTCCCTTATGTAGCGCGTATATACCCATGAGGGAGGAAAGGCGCATTTTCTTGAGTAAATCCCTTTTTCCCCATCCATACCCAATGACTTTTGCCTCAACCATTTTCCATATATATTCCCATCACATCATCATTTCAAGCTGTTGCTCGCCATTTCTCAGGCGAACAGCTTCTTCTCGTAAGACTCCATGTTCACGTTACCCTCCATCTGGGCACTGGCAGTACGCAGCTCGAAGCGGAGAATGCCGTTGTCAACAGACTCGCGGAGCTCCTTGAGAGACTGGATACCGCAGTCCTGCATGGAGTGCTTGAGACCGGCAGCCAGGTAGGGGATGAACTTGGAGATAGGTCTGCAGCGCGGTCAGCATAATGGTCAGTACAACAAAACGGAGAGGAAACGCACCCTCTGTGAGCAACGGAGCCAGTGACACCCTGAGCAACAAGGACGCTGTCGCCCTCGGAGAAGTAGCGGGCAGTGCCAGCGTTGCTCTTTTGGCTGTCCTTGCCGCCGTTGCCGGCCTTCTTGTCCTGCATGGCGTCGATGGAACCCATGCCACGGTAGGCCTTGACGAGCTTACCCTCGCGGGAGACGAAGGAGGTACCGGGGGACTCGGTGGTACCGGCCAGGAGACCGCCCATCATGACGGTGGAGGCACCAAGGGAGAGACCCTTGACGACGTGGCCGACGTTCTGGACACCACCGTCGGCGATGCAGGGAACGCCGAAGCGAGCGGCGAAGCTGCTGACGGAGTGGACGGCAGCAGCCTGGGGCCGGCCGACGGCCATGACCTCCTGGGTAATGCAGGCAGAGCCAGAGCCCATACCGATACGGAGGCCGTCAACACCAGCCTCAATGAGGGTAGCGGCCTGCTCGCGGGTAACGACGTTTCCGCCAATGACGTCGACGCCGGGGAACTCGTTCTTGATCCACTTGATCATATCAACCTGGTACATGGAGTTACCCTGGGAGGAGTCGAGGATGACGACGTCGAGACCGGCATCGACAAGGAGGCGGAGACGCTCCTTGTCCTCGGGACGAGTGCCAATGGCGGCACCGCAGAGGAGCTGCTTGCTGTCGGGCAGCTTGGAGGCCAGGGGGAAGTGCTGGTTCTTGTTCAAGTCGGAGCGGGAGATCATGGAGACGAGGTTGAAGTCCTTGTCGACGATGGGCAGCTTGCCCTTCTTAGACTTGGCGAGGATTTTGTTGGCCTCGACAAGGTCGATACCGGAGGGGGCGGTGATCAGGTCAGTGACCATGACGTTGGCGATGGACTGGTTGGAGTCCTCCTCGAACTGGATGTCACGGTTGGTGACGATGCCGAGCAGCTTGGAGCCAAGCTTGCCGCTCTCTGTTCACGGTGGTTAGCCATAGCTCGCCAACAGACGTGGACACATTCTCTCTGGTAGAAGAAGCTGGGATCATAGTAAAGTGTCTCCGCATGACGACATGGTCGTCTTTTGGTGGAACGAAAGTTATAATTGAAAAGGTTTGTAATCATGTAGAGCTGGGGGTAGGAAGAAATTTTCGAGGGAAATACTGACCAGTAACGGGGAAACCACCGAAACCCCACTTCTCCTTGAGAGCCTTCGCCTCGCCGACGGTGGTGTCGCGGCTGATGACGACGGGGTCGAGGATGAAGCCGTTCTCGTAACGCTTGACCTTGCGGACCATGTCGGCCTGGGCCTCGGGGGAGCAGTTGTGGTGGATGATTCCCAGACCACCCTGGAGAGCGATGGCAATGGCCATCTCGTGCTCAGTGACGGTGTCCATGGGGGAGGAGACGAAGGGGGTCTTGAGGGTGACCCGCTTGGTGACGGGAGAGTCCAGAGTGACGGCAGAGGCAGGGAAGCCAATGTAGCCGGGAAGGAGCAGGAAGTCGTTGTAGGTCAGACCACCGTGCTTCTTGGTGTCCATGAGCTCGTTGATGTCGAGGCCATCACGGCTCTCGTACTCCTTGAGGACCTGAAGGGCGGACTTGGAGTCCAGCACCTTGGCGCCGTTGATACCGTTGGTGGAAGGCATTTTTTCAGCGTCTTCCAAAGAAAAACAAAGGGGTATAATGGAGGAGAAAAGAAAAGTACGGAGTTGAAGAACTGCTAGTCTTTCGAAAGAGTACACAGAGTAATTGAGCTCGATTTCGAAGACTAAGGTTGGATAGGTCTCTTCTTCCCGTAAGAAAGAAGGAGAAAAAGTTTCGAGACGACACCCCGCAGGAAATTTTTTAATGGGATTGGGACCCTGCGCGGTGCGCGACCGGCGGATGGAGGGGCAGGAGGGGCAGGCGGTGAGGAGCCACAGTGCGGCGCAACTGATGCAACGGCCGCTTCACTGTGCCAAGAATGGCCTGACCGAGGCCTGAATGGGGTTATCCTCATCTCACCGACTCTGGCCGCATGTTTGCTAGGGAAGCTGCATGCGCATTGCAGTCCACGCCTGTAAGTTGCGTGTAAAAAATTGCAGCTGCTATGGGACGCGGTTGATACGCGGACCAGCGCGTATGTTCCGTCCTAGATGAGTTTGGCGTCTTGGGTTGCATCGATAAGAGTCTTAGCAGTGCTCGTAAGAGAGGCACAGTAAAGCTGTGGATTAGCTAAGCTCGGCAATCGTTGGACCCTATGACGCAAGTCTGGGAGCAACCCTCGGAAAAGAAAACGAAGTCTACAGGGCTTTCCATTATGAAGCAAGAAGGGTTATTTACGCAGCATGGCAACGCGGGCAAAGCTTCTTGGTTCGGGGACGACAACAAGGGAAAACAACTCATGTTGTTCGGGACTCGCGTTGCAAAGTTTGGAGTCTTTGGTTGGCTAGAGCAACAGATGCAGGACAACCCTTGCTCGGGTTGAATGAGGCTGCTGGGCTGAGCCTGACACGAAGGGCAGCAAGCATGTCTGTTTGAACTGAAGAGCTGTCCCAGTCACCACGATGCGGTCAATAGGGGCGGAAAGCCAGAGCATCAGCGTTGAGCTTCGATCCTCAGGTCTCGTCCAGTTTTACTTTTGCTTTTCCTCTGAGTCTAGTTGAAACTGCTGAGGCACTCGGTGCAGTAGTAGGCTGCACACGAGAAAAAAGACAGATGTGGCTTTTGGTTGCAGCAGCCACATCGGTTCTCTCGGCTCATGTTATACGGACATGAGCCACAACGTCTGTGTGTCAATTTAATCGGGTGCTAGAGATGGCACGCCGAGCGCTGTCTCCCGCAACTTTCGCTCTCTGACGGAGCACAACAACCATGCTGAGCTCTGATTGGTCGAACCAAGTGCACCGAAAAAAGGAACAAAGAAAAGAAAACAGGAAAACAGCCACTGGTTTATGAATGGACTATCAAGACCAGAATACCCTGTTTCGAAACGCCTGATCCCATTTGCTAAGTCGCAAAGTCTTGCAAACGGACCATGCCTGCTTCCATGGCCTCGAAGAGGATTTCCAGATAGATTGGCCTACGTGCCTACCTATAGTAAGATACCTATTGAGCGATCTCAACTTGTCTGCTGTGAATGAAGCGATTACAAACGAGAAGAGCTTCGAGAAACCGTCAAAAACATAGCACAACTGGCCTTCACATGATCTGTTGCCCAGCACTTATCCTGGCCCCAAGGCTCTGCCCTGGCAATGAAGAACTCTCCCAAATTTCCATCCAAGGTTGAATATCGGTTTCTTGGACGACAGCACCCAGGCCAGGATGGTCGACGTGTCGCCGAGCAGAATGGGGCAGACAATGACATGTGTCGAATCGGTGGAGGCGTGCTCATCCACGATCCCCCGGGGACGTGCCTGAACCACGTTCTGGTAGATCCCGTCGTCCACATCGTCCTTGCAATGTTGGGCATCTTTGCGACTGCCCTGCGCAGAAGCGCCAGTCCAGGCCCAGAGAAAGCAGACAACAGGCCAATTGACAGTGGGCGGAGGCGGGGCGGAGGGCCGTGCAACGGAAGATTCGCTCGACAAGTCTCCACTTTAAAAAGCCGGGCGGGTGCGACGCAGGGGCCACTCGAGTGACTAGCCACCAGAATTTCTGGGCGTTTTTTGACTGGGCACTCAGTGTTGGACACACCCTGGTTGCAAGGGGGCTGGTTGCCGCAGTCCGCTTACCTCTTGCAGCAGTAAACAAACAAACTGCCTTATCAGGTCCCGTCGCCCTCCCCCTCCTCCCCTCCATCCACCATTGCCCGACCTTCAAACGACCCAACATCCCACCCACACTTGGTCGTTGACGAGATTGCGACCACGCTTGTCAATTGTAGTGGCTGGTGGGTTGCCATCATTAATCGTCCTTGACAAACAAGGCCAATATTTCTTTCCCGTCATCGTTGTCGACGTTGCCCTTGCAGCGCCATCAACTATCGACTTATTCTCTTTGTTTGCGCAGTGCGCGCCGAGTCCGAACTTCATTCCTCCTCCTCGCGCTCAAAGCGCCGCCGCAGGTCGCTTCGGAATTTCCAACTTTGCTCTCTCGTCTTGTTTGGTCCTTTTCGAAGCACCATAGAACCGAGAGAAGACCAATAGTCCGCCCGACCCGGACCCGAGACCAAAGGTCGAACATAATTCAACTCATCGCATACCATACGACGTCCGAAAAAGGCGCCCTAATGTTGTCATCCGAATTCCTGAGCCCACAGATTCTTCAGCGCAGGCTTCCTCCGGTATCCTAATCATTTCATCGCCCAACATGTCGTACCGGCCACACCCTCTCAGACAGTCACATACTCTGGACTACCCCAGCAACATCAATCGGCAGTCCTCCACAACCTCCTCCGTTGCCTCGTCAGGGTACTCTCTATACTCCGATAACAGCCGAGCCAGCACCCAGATTTCGTCGGTTTCCAGCGGATACACTCATAAGAGAGGCAAGAGTGATGGTTCCCGTCTTCACCACGTCTCGTTCGGAGGAGAGAATCTTGACCACAAGAAGGACGAGAACCTCTATTCTATGGCCCGACAATCACTTCGCCCGCTTGCTCAAGCTCCCGCCCCGACATCATCCACACCTTCGTCCCCGACACCCTCGACACCTTCTCCTCCTCGTCACAGACCTCGCCACGAGCGCACACAAACCGTCGACATTGGCAAGCTATCACATACCCAATATGACGGTAGCACATCTCCCACACCGCTGTCCCGAACGCTCACAATTCGGCCAAACTCGATGTTACTCAGCCGTTCCGATACTATTCGAGCAGGAAGTGCCGCTCTTCCTCACGCCCATGAACCCCCGGCACCCGTCCACTCGGCAGCACTAGCCAGACCGGATCTCGAAAAGCTTGGCCGTTCATCAACAAGCCAGCTCCGTACTCTGTCGAAGCTCGCTCAGTCCGAATCCGCTGAGGATTTCACCATTACTTCGCCAGCACAGGAGGTGGTAGGACTCAGGGGCCGCCGCAGACTACAGAGAGCTGAACAGCCGAATAACAATCGCCAACGAGCCGGTGGCTATGGCTGGGAAGGCAGAAATTGGATGGACAAACAACGCCAGTTTCTCCAGGCCTACGAGTATCTCTGCCATATTGGTGAAGCAAAGGAGTGGATTGAAGATGTTATTCACAGGGCAATTCCTCCTATTGTTGAGCTTGAAGAAGCTCTCCGAGATGGAGTCACACTCGCAGAGGTTGTCGAAGCTCTCAACCCTGAACGTCGGTTCCGTATCTTTAGGCACCAAAAGCTGCAATTCCGACATTCCGACAACATTGCCATTTTCTTTCGATACCTCGATGAAGTCGAGCTTCCTGACCTCTTCAGATTCGAGTTGATCGACTTGTACGAGAAGAAAAACATCCCTAAAGTCATCTACTGTATCCACGCTCTGAGTTGGCTCCTATTCAGAAAAGGAATCGTCGACTTCCGCATCGGCAACCTCGTTGGTCAGCTCGAGTTTGAGCACCACGAGCTTGAGGCCATGCAGAAAGGCCTTGATAAACTCGGGGTTAACATGCCCACTTTCGGTAATATGGGAGCTGATTTTGGTGTGGAGCCTGCGACCCCGGAGCCAGAGGAGACTGAAGACGAAAGGATCGACCGCGAGTTGGCAGAGAACGAGGAGTCCATTGTGGAGCTCCAAGCTCAAGTTCGCGGCGCGGTTGTGAGGATGCGCCTGGGAGACACTATGCAGCAGCTCTGGGACGCCGAACACATGCTCATCGATCTTCAGTCTCGCATCAGGGCTGATTGGTCACGTCAAATCGTCGGCTACCGGCTTCAGATGAGACGTTTTGCCGTCGATCTCCAAAGCACTGCCCGCGGATTCCTCGTTCGAAACCGGATGGCCAACAAAGAACGTTTCTGGAAAGGTTTGGAGCCCGACATCCTGGAGCTTCAAAGTCTTATTCGGGCCAAGAAGGTCCGCGACGAGGTACGAGACCAGAGATCTCAGTTGGTTCAGCATGCCGGCCCCGTTCGAGAAATCCAAGCAGCGTTTAGGGGCTTCTTGGTCCGCAAGGAGCTCGTTACTCAGCAGCAAGAGACTGTTCAGACTTCTGGAGAGGTTCGAGACCTCCAGGCGGCAGTTCGCGGAATGCTGTTGAGAGGACGCGTTTCTGATGACCTCCACCTCCTGGACAGACAAGTCGACAGCATTACTAGCCTGCAGGCTGCTGCTCGGGCTTTGCTGACTAGAAGCCAGATATCGCTGGAGCAAGAGCATCTCCAAGCCTTTGCACCGCAGTGGACTGCGCTCCAAGCTGCGTTCAGGGGCAAGTCAGTTCGCTCAGACGTCGCAGCCACCAAGGCTGAAGTGGGTCAACACGCCTCGGAAATCGAGAACCTTCAAGCCCACATCCGTGCCGGGGCCGTACGGCGTGATGTCGCGCAATTGCTCGATGAGCTGAGCAGCCACGAACCTGCTATCATCGATCTGCAATCCATCTCCCGCGGGACGCTTGAGCGACGCCGTATTGCCGCCGACCAGGACGCTCTCATCCGTGTCGAGCCCAAGATTACCAAGTTACAGGCTCGCATCAGAGGCCAACTGCACCGCCAGCAGCATCATGCACTCCTGGAGGAACTTGAGTCCCACACCGCCGAAGTTGAGAAGCTGCAGGGTCTGGCCCGCGCCATGATGGTGAGAGGCAACGTCTTTGACCTCATCTCTAACATCGAGGCCGAGGATGCAGCCATCACCGAGATCCAGGCCGCTGCCAAGGCTTTCACCGTTCGCGCCAAGTTCCAGGAGAAGAAGCGCTTCTTTAAGGAGAACATGGAAAAGGTCGTCAAGATCCAAAGTCTTGTCAGAGCCAAGATTCAAGGTGATGCGTACAAGAGTCTTACCCATGGCAAGGACCCACCAGTCAACGCTGTCAAGAACTTCGTGCATCTGCTCAACGACAGTGACTTTGATTTCAACGAGGAGATCGAGTTTGAGAGGATGCGCAAGACCGTGGTTCAGCAAGTCCGTCAGAACGAGATGCTCGAACAGTACATCGATCAACTCGACATCAAGATCGCACTGCTCGTGAAGAACAAGATCACACTGGACGAAGTTGTGAGACACCAGAGCAACTACGGCGGCAGCTCAATCGGCCTCTTGGCCAATGCTTCAATGTCTTCCACCAACCACTTCGACTTGAAGGCCCTAAACAAGAGCTCCCGCAAGAAGCTGGAATCCTACCAGCAGCTCTTCTTCAACCTCCAGACTCAGCCGCAATATCTTGCGCGACTGTTCAAGCGCATCCGTGAGCAAGGAACACCCGAGAAGGAATGCAAGAGAATCGAGCATCTCATCATGGGTCTCTTTGGTTATGCCCAGAAGCGGCGTGAGGAGTACTATCTCCTCAAGCTTCTCGCCAGAGCCATGAGAGAGGAGGTGGAGAGCAGCAGAACGTTGCAGGACTACCTTCGCGGCAATTACTTCTGGACCAAGGTTCTTGGCAACTACACCCGATCTCCTCGCGATCGCAAGTTCTTGCGTGAACTTCTCGGCCCCATTGTCCGCGATAACATTGTTGAGGACCCAGCCCTCGACCTTGAGAGCGACCCATTGCAGATTTACAGAGCTGCTATCAACAATGAGGAGCTGCGGACCGGCCGTCCAAGCCGGCGTCCGCTGGACGTTCCGCGTGAGGTTGCTATCAAAGACCCTGAAACCAGAGACCTCTTCATCGACCATCTGCGCGACCTTCGGGAGATTTGCGATCAGTACCTGTTGGCTTTGGAAGACCTTCTGCCCAAGATGCCATACGGCCTTCGTTTCCTTTGCCGACAGATGTACGAGAATCTCTGCCAGCAATTCAAGAAGGATCCGCAACACCACCACCTCCAAGTTGTCACCAACTGGATCTGGCGTTTCTACCTGCAGCCTGCGGTTACCTCACCAGAGAATGTGGGTGTCATTGAGAAGCAATTAAGCCCCCTCCAGAAGCGCAATCTGGGTGAGGTTGCAAAGGTCCTCGGTCAGATCGCGTCTAGCAGACCTTTCGGCGGCGAGAACATCTATCTGCAACCCCTCAACGCATTTGTTCAGGAGTCGTGCGAGCGTCTGGCGGAGATTACCCACGAGCTCATCTCTGTTCCCGATGCCGAACGCAACTTTGACATTGACGAGTTCAACGACCTGTATTCGAAGCACAAGCCCACCCTTTACATCAAGATGCCAGACATCTTCGCCATCCACAACCTTGTCGCTAGCGAGCTGCCGTCAATATGCCCAAACAGAGACGACATCGTTCGTGAAATCTTGCAGGATCTCGGTAGTGCTAAGAACAACGAGAACGAGATGCTTGCGGCGGGATCATCAGATATTCAAATGTACCTGACACCGAAGCTGCACGACGTCGAAGATCCAGATGCAGAGGTTAAGGCACTCTTCATGGAGACGAAGCGATGCATCTTGTACATCATCCGTGTACAGACGGGCGCCAACCTCTTGGAGATTCTCGTCAAGCCGATCTCGGATGAAGACGAGCACAAGTGGCTGTCAGTCCTGCGCGACGACTTTGCAAACGAAGACAGCACGAAGGGCGCGTACTCGGACGCCCACATGGTGGACGTGACACGCATGTCCTACTACGACCTCAAGCGGACTGCGTTGGAGAACATCATGAGACTGGAGCACATGGGTAGAATTTCCAAGCACAACTACTACCAGGACATCCTCAACGCCATCGCCCTCGATATCAGGACCAAGAGCCGAAGACGTGTGCAACGCCAGCGCGAGCTCGAAGGCGTCAGGTTGACCCTTTCCAACCTTCACGAGAAGGCCAAGTACCTCGAGCAGCAACGCAAGAGCTACGACGACTACATTGAATCTGCCATGATAACGCTGCAAAAGAACAAAGGGTAAGTCATTTTCTAATGTCACAACTGAATCCACGATGACCCCGGACGGATCTCCCTCCTTCATCCACCTCCCCACATTATAAGCACGGTCCAAGTGTGTCGCCATCGGCTGACTAAATTTCGTCATGAACAGAAAGAAACGGTTCCTGCTTCCGTTCACCAAGCAATACAACCATCAGCGCGAGCTGGAACGCAGCGGGCGGGTCCCCAAGTTTGGCAGTTACAAATATAGCGCTCGGGCTCTCGCGGAGAAAGGCGTGCTCGTCGGATGGAGTGGCGTCACCGACTGGGAGAGAGTCAACCTCACCATTTCTTGTGATGAGGTTGGCGTGTTCAACCTCGAGGGCTCTCGTGGCCACATCCAGATGCCGGGAGCCAGCGCCTCCGTACCGATTGAGGGTCTTCTGCAGGCTCAGTTCGAGGCTCACCAGTTCATGAACCTCTTCGAGGGCAACCTCAAGCTGAACGTCAACTTGTTGTTGCATCTTCTGTACAAGAAATTCTACCGCACGCAATAAACAAGCGCGAGTGGCAGCAACACACACAGCAATGAGACATGGCTTGACGGGATGACTTGGGCATGGAGCGGTGTCGCGGGCGTGCGGAACTTTTTTCTCTTACCCTCTTCGTTGGGACGCATCAAAACGAAGCATGTTACTTGGGCCGCATATTGGGTTGACTTGACACAGCAAGGCGAGGGCGGTTTCGGTCATCTTTACCTTTTTTTCCTTTCCTTTTCTTTTTCAAGATTGCATTGCGGGGAGAACAAAAATTCGATCAACTGGGAGAGACATTACTTGTAGGAGTAGGTATGTACGAGGAACACACACGAACACAACGACAACGGCAACACACGCACAGACATTCGTTGGGTGTTGTAGAGAATCGCTCCCATTCCCAAAGTGGCTTGAAGGAGGACTGCCGAAGTAGGGGAAGCGGGGAGCAAGAAAGGCCTGGGGAGAAGGCGGCGGCGGCGGCGGCAGCGGAAGGCAAGGGACATTGGGAGCGGGATGGGACTGGGCATGGGAATGGGAATGGGACGGGGTTGGATGGATGCATATGTCGCACGCGAGACTAAGAGCGGCGAGAACTATGCTACTTAACTAGTTGATACCTTTTTGAATGTTAACCCGCATTGTTGAATATCTTTGTGCATGTGATATGTGTGTGGCCGATGCGTAAACGTGAACAATGTGTTTGAAGATGAGTGGCTGTGATACGTGCGATAGATAGCTAATGCACTTGCAACTGCTCCCTCCCCCCGACGCTGGCCGTACGCCCTGGACACCACCATTTTTTGGATCAATGGACTTGGAAGACTGGAAGGGGAAAAAAAAAAAAAAGTTTCTGGAGCTTGAAGGAAACGTGTACAATGTGTTTGAAAATGAGTGGTTCGTTTAGTTGATCGAAGGGGGGTGGTGACGCTTTCCCCCACTACACTCTACGATTCTCAGCGTGACAGCCTTGTAGGTTTGTGGACGTTGGGTGCGCGCGTGAGCTGAGTTGTTGTGGATTTTGCGCCAAGCGTTCGACGGCGAAACGCGAAGGGGTGGTCATGTGAGGCCTATTTCGAGACTTGAGATGATGAAAGGAAAGGGAAATCCGGGGTAAGGATGATGAGTTGCTATTGGCGAGGGCACGAGATCACGAGAGGTTGGCCGTTGCGGCTCGTCTGGATGGGAAGTCCTGGTGGGAGACTTTTCTACGGGTGATGTTGACAAGGGACCCAGCCAAGACCATGATGAGGCGGGCGGGGCTGTGAGGGACGACGAGGGAGGGTGATGGGGGAAGAGAGTGTGAGTGGTTGCGATAGCCGTGTGGGAAAGAATAAAGGGGGGCGTGATGTTCTAGGCCGATCATCGATCGCAAGCCGCCGTGGCCGATTCACGGGAAGAATTTCAGACGGACTTTCTGTGTTGCTTGGTAGATTATCATATTCCACTTTGTTCATAAGAGGGGCAACGCCGGCTGGGTTGGGTGACGGGGGAGATGCAAGGTCTGGGGATGTTTGGTGTTAGTTGTTTCGCTGTTATGAAGATGTGCTGGATTGGTGCATAATCTGTCAGCCTTCTCGACGAGGGAAGGTTGGGTTCGTTGGCGCGCGATGCAAGATGGTGGGCATGGCAGAGGACCCCTGGGCTTGTCTTGGTTCGGGACTCGGTGAGTGGGTTGTTGGAGGTGGACTGGTGGTTTGTCTTTGTCTGATGCAGGTTGAAGCGAGCGGCCAGGTTCGGGATGTGCGTCTGGTTTGCTTGGGAGGCGCAGCGCGAAGTAGCTTGGCGTGATATGCGTGTTGCGGGATGTTCGGGGAACACACAAGCGCAGCAGGTCTAGCCCAGTCACTGCTTGCCAGTGAGTGGCAGGATAGCTGCACATCAGTCACCTAAGGCGGCGACCGTCTTTGCCAATGGCGCTGATTCCAAAACGCCATTTATGCATTTAGTGGGTGAGACGGGGGGAGTGATGACCATCAGATGATCACCCAATGCTATGCAGGCGGACTGTAAAGGGGCGCGAGTGAGGAGGACAACAGCCGAAAACGAAGATGAGCCATGGCACTGCTGATGGTCGAGGAGGAGGGGGCACCGGGGCAGAGCGGACGGAAGAGCAGGGCAACAAAAAATCCCGTGGATGGATCGCCGGGCATTTTGTGATCCTCGCATCCCTTGATGGAAGCTCGGGAAGATGGAGCCTTGATGGCGCTGTTCCTGCAGGTGAATGGATGGATTTGGTCGATGATGAAACGAATCGAAAGCAATTTGACTCGGATTCCGCTGTTTTAGTTGATGAAGCAATAACGGAGTGCGATGATGTGATTGCGGCATGGCTGACGGGATGGACGCCGGGGCCACCTTCGCCAGCGGTAAAAGTAGAAATCAGATTTCGAATACGGCGAGCTGGCGCGTGCGTCACGCTTCCTTGGCTTAGCAAGCATGGGTCGAAAGCCAGATGATTCAGAAAGGGCGGTCTTTTTGGCATTGCGGCGCAACATGCTCCACGTCTCACGGTAAGGCGAGAGAAAAGAAGGCAATGGCGTGACCGGGCAGCCGTAAAGGCAACCCCGCAATTGCGGGGTCGGAGGCGGCTCCAAGTCAGAGCTGGACGCCATCACGACATTTCCTAAGCTTCTCGATGGTGGAATCGCGATGCCCTTGGTGATCGGCTGCGAGATGTGCGTGGCCCAGAAATGCCTCCCGCCAAAATCTCAGGGGCGCTGGTGTAAAACCCGGAGAAGGCGTGGATGCTTGTAATGGCGACATCGGCTGTTGCTCCGAAGGCCCGTTTCTCACCCACACCGAGCGAGTCTGGAGAGAGTGCCCCGTTCACTGCAATTCGTAACCACGGCGTTGGTGTCGTGTGTCCTACCCTACATGCATATACTGGGGCTTTTTTTCGGGGGCCGTGGAGAGCCCAGAGATGCGGAATGGAGACATCCTTGACAATCAGGTTGATGCTAAGTGGGCAGCTTTGATATCTCGGTCGAGACCCATGGTGCCGGGTTGTTTCGCGTGTCCTGTCTTCCGGTCTTATCTGTGGAGAGGTGTAGTTGACGAGCAAACGGCGTCTCCCGCAATTTTGATCGCGTGCACTCAGGACGGCAGCACAGGAACGCAACCACACAACCCCTCATGAGAGAGGACGTTGACAAGAAAAATTCTCGGTGTACCCTCGTCGCACGTCAAGCATATCTGTCCAATGATGCCAGCTAATCGGAGGAGAGCCTGACATGGGTTTGAGCGACGCTTATGCAGGTTGGGCACTGGTCTCTGGGTAATTGTCCAGATGCAGGTGGGCGATTGCGGTTTAGTGGTCGAGATCCAGGGGTCCAAGTAGCAGGGAAGACGACGTAGTGCCTCTTTGATGGTTGTGTAATCCATCCATCCGCCGGTATCCGTACCACCTTAGGCGGTACAGAGAACGATATTCCTGCTTGAAGCATAAGCCGTCGGCCGGGTCGGTGTCAGTCGCCGGGGTACCAATCCCAAGATGCCTGATCATGGGAGAGGCACGAGAGACGGGCGACAGGCAGGCCCATGCTTGTTGTTCTAGAAGGTCTAGCCGACCGTTTTGGAGGCTTTTTGCTGCTTTTCCGTTTGTGGTAGATCTCTCACACCGCCATCTATCGCCTCGCTGGCGCACATCGTGACGAAGTGGAAAAAACAGCACAGACTGACAGACCACGCACCGCGTCTAACCAGATGGCGAAGGAGCTTGACGGTGAGCTGTTGGTAAACGGGAGTAGGACGGGGAAGATGTTGCTTCTTTATGATGCAAACACGGCAACACGGAGATTATGCCGCGAGACAATCGATATGCTGCAAGTATTGGGAGGCTTGGAAGCTGCGTGACTGGCTGGTGAGTGCTCCGCTTGGGACAATTCGCCATAGGCTGATCGAAATGCGCAATCTTTGGCACATGCGACGACCTGTCCTCGTTGGGGACCGAGCTGCGGACTAGCGCGTGCTGTGTAGCGGCATGAAGGACCATTACGAAGCAGGGAGAAGCTCGAAGAAGCAGGCAGGGCAGAGCATGTCGGAGGGTCTCTGGCAGCAGCCCGACATTTGATGACTTTCCCGCATTACCTAAGTTGCACACCGCAGACACAGGAATTGGCGGCGGCGTTGGGCTCCGATTGCCTGCTCCAGGTGAGGGTGAGGGCAGGATTGGACTGCACTGAATGGAAGTTGCTCATCTTTTTCTGGGCATGGATCTTGAACACTGGTCAGCTGCACCCCCGTGACATTGCATGAGTCGGGAAAGCTCCACAAAGCCGGCGGGCCAGTTCAGGCGATGCCACGGTGGGTTGAGTGAGAAGCCGCGCTGTCTGGGGTATCCTTATCAGCACCACACCTCAACCATCTCTGTATCCGAGACAGGTCGTCTAGTTGCATAGATACTGTGGTTGCATAGCGTCGCGCCCCGTTTGGCGCTCTGTCTCTCTCTCGTCCACGCCTGCTCCTTCTCCACGTCCCGCCGCTCTTTCCTATCGGACACGCAGGGCCCCGGGGATGGTTCTCGAGGGGAGGGACGTGGACTCCCATCTGTGACTGTGGTGTGGACTAATCGTTCTTTCCCTCGCGCCCTCCCCTTGAGCCAAGCAACGCCCAATTTTTTAAATGACGGCGCCTCCCACATACAACGTCGACTGACTCTTCCCTTTTCTGTCTCATCATCTTCAAAGTTCGGCTGGTTGAAGCTTTTTTACCTTTGCCTTTGCCTTTGCCCCTGCCCTTGGTCACTTACAACAAACACTACCCGTTCTCACCATCACCATCCAACACCTACCAACTTTGTTGTCACCGTCTTGACCGCCTATTTTTTCTGTCCAGACTTGCCTGCCCGCTTCTCACACCAGTCAGGCACGCATCACCAACCTTTTATTGTTCCAAGGCATCGTCCTTTTACACCGAGAGTCCATCCTCCTCTGCCCGTTGGCGTCCGTGAGCAAAATGGCTCCCGACCTCAACTCTCTCCCCTCCTCGCCTCTGGCCCAGCCTATTGGCAAGTCGGCCAACGC